GGCACGCAATATTTATGCTGGGACTCGCGCTAGACCGCTGGTGTGGGTAGGTGACTCAGCTGTACTCGCAACAGCAGCCAGTGGTTAGGTAGTGAGCTGAATCACAAACTATGAGAGGGGGCATCCCCTACATACTGGGACAGTTCAGGAACCAGACTGCAGTGTGAAAGAACTCAAACCTATCTGGATTAAGTGTTTTACTTTCGTCAACTGCAGCACGTTTTATCAGAGCACCCCATCTTCTCCTATGTTGACCTCCTTTAGGAGAAGGAGTATCTGTTCCATGGAACCTTCTGCCCCATACTTTATATAACTTGATAGTGTAGCTCCTCTTTCAAGCAAGGAGAAGTTTTTGCAGCCGGCACACGTGGTCATCTGCCCATGTTAAGCAATTGGTTTACTCTGGGCCACCACAGCGTGCTGTCTGGTGGTGGAAGAGACCCAAGCGTCAAAACAGGAACAAAACTTAGTCCTCTTTTATGCTATTTATGGGTAAAACGGATATTCTGAATTTGGAGATGAAAAGCATTGTCTCCAAGTTAGAGCCCTGGAGAAAACTCATGCTAGAGTAGAAGGCATCAGATGTATAATTAGGTGAAAGAAACACCTGAAAGTTATTAACATCTGACTACTGTTTAAATTATGTTTGATCAGACCACTTGGGGATCTCTTAATGATTGCTTGGCTTTGTCTCTGCATGCACACCCCTTCTGTGCTGTGTCTTTCTAAATCTTGCATTGCCCTATCTCTTTGTGTGTGCTGATCCAATTTTTAAATTATTTGTTCAGGTAATAATAAAAAAGGAGAGTTGTATTGATCATTATCAGTTTGAAATGCAAAGACTGTTATGACTCATTAATCTTTCCACAATTATTGCCTTGTTCATGTGGTAAGGAACTCTATGTGAACAAAGATCAATTCTTAACTCCTGTCAAAACATATACACACATAGGTACCATCAGTGTCTGATACTGTTACAATTGAATGATAATCAGGTAGGGGTACCCTCCTAAATTTTTATTTCTCCCATTAGTGCAGCATTTTCATTTTAACATAATTTATTTTTAATTAGATAAGCACAAAAGTACTTTAATTTTACATAAAATTGATACAGCTGCAGTTCTTAAATATGAAGACATTGAATGAATATTAAAAAAAAATACTTGATAGTTTTTGGTAGTAGATCATCAGGAAAAAAAGCTGCAAGCATGCTCTGGCTGCTAACCTTGTTTGATAGTACCTCTCACTGTAAGCGACTGGGATTCAGGCCATAACTTGTCCCTAGGAAGGAGCTTATTCATTTATGCCTGCCTGATGGCAGAATGTCATTGGGCTTAATAAGAGGTTAACACTCAGAATATATCTATGTTCAGCTGGCCTTAACTGTTGCCAGTTTTCAGGCTTCCAGGTTCTACACTTGAGTTTAACAAACTCCCTTAATGACTGGTTGTTAACTGCACACACAGTATTATTTTATCCGCTGTATTTTCCATCATCAATGTGTGTGACAGATAGTGGCAGACAAAACAATGTCATGTTTCTTTTCTCTAGCATATTCTATTCAAATTTAAGCAGAAAAACAAACTGAATAAATAAAATGACTCATTTATCTTTGAGTAAAAAGGATTTTGGTTTTTTATTTCGTTATGATCTGACCATAAATCATTCATGATATCAGGCAATAAAACCCTGCAGTCTATTACGTGGAGCTGTCACAGTGATTTCAGAGATGTGAAGTTTTATGTGCAGATACAGGGAAATCTGAAGGTTAAAAAACCTGGGTTGAATTTTAAAAAGGCAGGAGTATGTTTTTAGTGATTTTCAAACTTGCAAGTACATATTATCCCAAGCAGAAGACTTCCAATAGAATACTGCATCCCAAGGAAAAAGGTGATTTTTATCATTTCAGCCTGTAAATGCAAAGTATATATTACTACTTCATCAGGAGGTCCTGTATCAGATTGCCATACAAATGTGTTGTCTTTGGTCAGCAGTTATCCATGTTTCGTGCCCTTGTCTAAAATTGGGCCAAGATTCAGTAAAGCCATTGTCTGTAGGAAGTTTGAAACATTTATTTATACAGATGCAGAAGTATTTTGCTGATGTTATTCAGAAGTTTCTTTAACGATTATGTCCCTTAAAACACGGTCTTAGTATTTTAGCCAGCATTTAGAAATAGGCCTTATTTCTTTTTCCCAAAAATGCAAGAGAAATGTCAGCTTTAAAATGTATAGTGTAATGGCATAATACGCTGATTTTAACGTTCATTAGTGCTGACTTCTGGCTCTGTATTTAAATTATCCTCACCTATCACACTGATGCTGCTTAACCTTTTAGCAGAATATGCAAATACAATGAAAATACAAGAAATAAAAAGAGGCTACCTTAGTTCCTATCCTCAGACCGATGAAAGCAGCTTCACATTATTTCAGTTGAAGTTACTCTAATTGGCAGCAGCTGCAAACTTGAACCTGGGAAAGAGAAGAGAGGCAGCCAGTGTAGCAAGTCCTCTGCGTTGTAATCTTTGCAAATTTCTGAGTAGCAAACTCATTTTTCTCACAGTGTTGGCCCTCTCCGTTCAAGGTTTTGCTGGTTTTTCCATCTCATGCACTGTTCCTGAGGTTTCCCAGGCAACTGATTTAACACCTGAGTACAGCAGTAAACACAGCAGCAGAGCAGGGACACAGCTTTTTTTTTTTTTTTTATGTTTTTCTTGGGTTTAGTTTACTGCTGGCCTGAGCCTTATACTGCTTATGCTGCTTATTTTTGCCTTGAGCACTTTCGTGTTGTCATGTCTTGTCTACTTTCACAATTACATCTATCTTTCCTTCTGTCTTAAGAAAGAAAAGAAACACAAAACTGTTCCTTAGTGTTGCTTGTTAGCTTTCTTGTTATATTTTTCCTTTGCTCCTATGTGCTGCCTTTCTGAGGTTTACCCCGCTCTGGGGTGTTAACTTTCCTCCTAAAGTCAGTGGTCCATAGAGCACTTTCCTCTGTGTGTGCTATGCATGGCATTTCCTGAAGGGGGGGAGAACATACCAAATAAAGGGATGTTCCTACCATTTTAAGCGTTTTACAAATGCAGATGTAAAGTTATGCTCTTAAATTTATTGCTAAGTGTATGCAAGAATGACTCAGTTTTCAAAATACTTAGCATTCACCATTTCTGCTGAGGACTGTGAACTGCTTTGAAGTTCAAGTTACATGTCTGGAAGTGGATAAACAAGTTCCATGGGCATCTGTTTATGGGAAATCTTGGCAGTGGCATTTATAGCTCTTTTCCACTAAGTCTGGTTCACACCACCATGATGGGTTAGTAAAAGGAGGCTTAAAAGCAATAGTCATCCCATTAATAAACCGCTGACACTAGGGTTTTTTTCCTAAAAGATGTAATTATTGGACTTACTAGAGCTAAAATCATCTTCTGGCCCTATATGTGGTGCTGAGAAACTTCTTACTGGGCTACGTATAACCAGCTGCCTTAAAAACAGGGTTTAAATATGGGGCAGAGCGTACATGCCAGTGACTTAGACCTCGGTGGTTGTGTGGGTGTGTGTCTCTGCAGATCTGAAACGGGCAGCCCAGACCACGGTTCTTCAACTATTGAACAGGAATTAGCTGCGCTCGACTCTGAAATGACCCAGAAGCTGGTCGAGCTGAAGGAGAAGCAACAACAGCAGCTGCTAAATCTCCGACAGGAGCAGTATTACAGTGAAAAGTACCAGAAACGAGAGCATATTAAGCTGGTACGTTTGTTATGTTGTCTGCTTTTCTTTGGTGATCTCAGGGTAAGTAATGAAAGCAGCATGACATCATAATTAAGTGGGGCTTCCTCTTACTTGGAGTCCATTTCAGAGCTTGATTTCCCTGTGGTCTGCTGCAACTTCAAGGGGGTTTTGTGTCACTTTGTCACTAATATGTCTAACAACTTGGAAGGCTTTGGATGGAAGGCAGAAAGGCAACAAGTTTATGACTACTGCTAACGCAGAGAGTCCTTACCTCTAGTTACATAAGTCTGTTTATTGCAGCTTTCGGATGATGTTCCTGTTCTGTTCTGCCACTTTTTTAAACGTACAACACTCAAGGAGGTAGGATTAGCTGGAAAATAAATTGAAACGCCATGAAAATAAATAGAGGAAAATAGATTCAAACATTCCTCAGGGCACAGAGTTGTGCCAAGCAGTGTTCCTCTTGCAGATGAATGCTTTAAGGGGATGCAGGACATCATCTGTATATGGTGAGGAAATATTTTGCATCCATCAGTCCAAGCCAACTTGTGTTTTTACAGCTGGAGTTTGGCTGACAACTGCAGCAGGATCATAGGCCCTCTGAGCTGAAATAGAGGAGCTTGGGCAGATGGCAGCTGATGCTAATGGATATTCTCAGGCAGAAAAGAACATTTTTAAAGGGTGTTACAGGAGTGCAAACTGTTTCTCAACTCCAGACAATCCTCTCACAATTTTTTTCTAGTATGTGATGTTTTTGCCTCATTACTGTTGGATGAGGTGATTTGTCTGCTCTGCCCTGCCATCCAAAAAGAGGAGGTCAGAGTGATGTGCGTGGATATTGCTCAGCAAGGCCCTTTACACAAACCCATTCCCATGGATCACAGCATGGTGCTGCCGTTCCCAAGCAGCGCCTTGTTTATCACCAGTTGTACGTGAATCATTTCAGCATTACCCAACAGGAGCTGCTCCAGTGTGGGTGCAAGGGCGCGGTTACCTGTGCTGCAGGGAGAGAGCCCACGTTCAAGTAACAGTTGTTGGCTGCATCTAGGAATTTTAATTTTTCTGAAAACAAACCATTTTGGGGCCGCATAATTGAGCTTATATTATAAGCTAACTCGTTTCTCATTTCAAAATGGGAAACGGCATTTTCTCAAAGCAAAGTTACATTTGCAGCATTGTCCAGTTAGGTAGTGTCAGGATAAATTCATATTTTAGCACAGAACCTTCAGACGGTTTTCCCTCTGAGCTGTGCAGGAGTTAATATTCCAATTAAAATCTGCTTTGCAGCCAGGAGATTCTTTCTGATGTCTTTCTTTTAGAGGACAGGCTATTGTCGGTGTCGTTCTTCTTTTATCTAAGGAATGAAAAGCTGGACCAGTCTAGCTAGGCATTATTATACATTCGCTGGTTCACCATCCTGAGGATTATTTTACAGAATCAGACTTAAACTAGAGGGGGTGATCAAACCAAATTGGTCCCATTTCCCTCTTTAATTCACCATTCATTGAACTTGTACACAAGCCCCGTCCATGTGTCCTCTCCCGTCAGCATCACCACCACAAGCATGCTTTTTGTTAGCAGTTTCAAGCCGCATGAGACTGGACCCCGTGCTGCACAGCCGATTTCAAACTGACTCAGTTGGTTTTTTAATCCATCATTCTGTGATCAAAATGTAGGCTATGCTTATCTATAATTAGCTTTCTTTGCTATCATGTGTGAGTTTTCAATATCCACCTGACCACCCCGAAATCCAAACTGTTCCATGTAATAACACTCAATGCAAGAGGAATGTTTTCAGCACTCGCAGAAAACGTTGAATATTCAGTGACACAGGAATTCAGTTTGTAATTTATATTGCGTAAATTCCGTTTGTTACCATTTATGAATTATCATAGGCATTTTAATTCCTAGCAAAGATAAAATCTGCAAAACATGTTTTGGTTTTACATTTAGTATTCTGAAACTATTTCACCTTGATGTACAGAGAAGTAGTTTCTGTGTAAGTTGGACATACACAAGTCTGGCTGGACTCCGCAAGTTAAAAGTGCATTTACGCTGATAAGAATGTTTACTGGCTTTTGATCGTTGGTCATTAATCAGGGAATGGTGTAACACTTTCATGTCTGCTACAGACTCTTGAGCAAACTTAGATGCATGTATGATGTTTAGCTGAAAATACATATTATTGTTTCTTGGGAATTTTTTTTTTTTTTTAGCTTATTCAGAAGTTGACAGATGTAGCAGAGGAGTGTCAGAACAGCCAGCTAAAGAAACTGAAAGAAACGTGTGAAAAGTAAGGTGCTATTCCCCTTATGATTGATTACTACTCCATGTGGGTTTTGTTTAGATACATTTTGAACTTGCCTTTATGTTTTATGCTTTAGAGAAAAGAAAGAATTGAAGAAAAAAATGGACAAGAAGAGGCAGGAGAAGATCACAGAAGCAAAGTCCAAGGATAAAAATCAAATGGAAGAGTAAGTATATCCCCAGATCCATATCCTTTATATTTTATGAGGAGACACAAGATTTTTCACACCTGGAAAATCCAAGAAAGGTCTCAACCCTAAATACAAGGCAACTTTTAGTCAGACTCTAATACCTCACCAGAGCAGTGGAGTCCTTACTTCCGCTGATACTAATTAAATTTCCTGGGACTAATCTAATCTCCTGTTCTGCGAGCACTGAGAGTCTGGGCCAGCTGCAGAGGTGCTGATGTGTGGTGTGGGGACATGCCTATGAGTGGCATGACAGAGTGATTCACCAAGATCCTGTTAATCCAGACACCATTACTCTGAGTATAAATAGACTTAGTGGCTTCAGTTCCTGCGGGGTTTGATTTCACCTTAACTTAGGTTTTTATTTGTGAGTTATCTTTTCTTCTTAACTCTGTTAAAGCTGCTCTCCAGAAGAAATAGCAGCAACACACTGGAAGGTTTGCTCTACTTTTGTGACAAATTCCCCTCAGATGCTGTGCCACCGATTCTCCTCCAGTGACAGCATTACGCAGTGTGCAGTCCCGTTGGGTGGAAGAGAGAAGAAAGCTGAGCTCTGAGGGTGCAGTTTCTGTGAACAGGGACAGGAATATTAATTTCATTTATGCGCCACCAGACAATACAAACTGTAGTTGTACAAGTTGATTATATTCTTCCCAAGGGCACAGTATCTAGGTTTGTTTGTCCTCCCTCATTTGTTTTGGCAAGCAGCTCAAAAAGAAAATGGAGCATTCTAATCTTGCACTGTTTGCTGGAATATTCTTGTTACCGGTCTTTACTTTAGTAACATTTAAGGACACTTAAAAATACAGGAGGAACAAAAAAAGAAAAATCCAGAATATCTGAGTTCTACCAAGTAACAAAGACACAACTATGTTTGTTTTTCTACAGGTAAAAAGGTTTATACAGGTTTTGGAGCCTCTCAACATAGAACCTTTGTATTGGGTAACACTGAAAGAAGGTTGCGTGCGCACACAATGAATTGCATCAGATAATTTAAGAATCGATATTATAGAATTTCAATAAACATCCTAGAAAAAAGACAACAACATGAGAATGATTATGAAAAAAAGGGAGAAATACTTATGGGGTCGGGGGCACGGAAGCTGGTCGGGGGCATGGAAGTCATATTAGAAAAAAGTAGTTAGTCATTACGAAAATGTTATAGCAGTAAAAATCAATTGCGATAGGCAATGATTTGCTGAGAGGTTATTGAGACACTAGTGAGAAAGGCTCAGAAACAGAAAGTAGAAATTAATTTTTGTTTTCCTTTTATTTTTTTCTCATTTTTCCTAAGGGCTTTCCTTTGCCAGGCTTGTCAAAGAGCCCTTGGGAAAGATGAGATGGGAACTACATGGGAAACTCAGCTTTCCTCTGTCAGGCAACCTAGTTTGTCCGCATTCTTGCAGTAGGACAGAGAATGGCAAGACCTTCTGGTGAATCCCATTCGAGTCATCCAGGCTAGGCTGTTGTTTATTTAAAGTTTTTACGCAAATTTGGGAAAGAATATTACACAGAGATAATACATTGTATTAATTGTTACTTAATTTTTCTTATTCCTACGTGCACCCAGGGGTTGTGTAACTACCTAAAACCGTTAGATTTTAGTGCCTCCTGAATAGATAGAAATTTCCATAATTAAGTTTTAGAGTACTGTCCTGAATCTGGTCAACTCGGGTATCCACAAATTGTTATTTTAAGTGCATTTATCCCTTTGGGGGATCTCATCTTCAGCCTTTGACCAAAGGTTACCTAATAACTATCTCACCGAGTCACGTAAAGTTCAAATATTTCCTCCAAGTTCAGCTTTATGTGGTTTACATAGCAAAGCTGGGGACCGACGCTGAGTCTGCCCTGCTCCTTGTGGGAGCTTTGCCATTGTCTCCGAGATCCCGCCAGCAGTATCTGCTCGCTGACAAGAGACTATTTCTCTACTATATAATGTGCCACAATGTGGCAGTGTGCATCTACTGATGATCCTGTGCTCTCCTCGGCTGACGTTTGGGCCTTAAGGAACACCAGCATCACTTTGAAGATGTGGCAGCACCCTATGGGGAAAGCCTGCTGTGAAAGAGCAGGGGGTTTGTTGTGGTAGGTCGTAGGCAAGTCTGAGCCCTTCATACACTGAAGATGCAGCCTGTTAGGAAAGGCACATTCAGGAAGCGGATAAAAGTTCAGTGGGTATATCCATCCATTCCAAACATAGCCTTACTTATTTTGTAAGGAGTTGTGGTGAATTAAAATATATTGGTGTGGTCTTACTGACTGCAGTAACTCTTTGATTGCTTCTCCCCAGAGAGAAGACTGAAATGATTCGATCATATATCCAGGAGGTGGTGCAGTACATAAAACGGGTATGTCAGGCCATATGTTACTTCTCATTTTTGGGAGTAGAATGTCAGCTTTCATATTTTAGGTCATATTAAACTGCAGATTCTAAGCCTCGATATAAAGATTCTGCAAGTGCCGATTTTTAACAGATGCAGTGTAGACTTCTCTTCACATTCCAGTTAAAGGAAAACTGGAATTTCAGACAGATCTTGATTAATTGTCAGTCAGTGTTTGGGGGATGGTGATAAGAGGGGCAGATTTTAATACAGTTATGATTTAATCTTTGAATATCCTGTGTTTATTCATGGAAAATGTACCAATTTTTTTATTGGCTTGCTGTCTCATGAATGCAAAGATTGCATAAGGAACTCTGAAAGTCAATAAACCTTTAATTGCAGAGTATATTTTAACCTTAATTATGTTTGTACAGTTAATGAAATGCCAAAAACATTCTATGAGCTCTGTAAATACAAGTCAAAGAATTTCATTGCAGGTGTTAGCTTTTCTGAAGCTATAGGTGGTTGAAAGTATATCAAGTATATCACTGGGCTGAAAGTAGGCACCGCAGTGTTTTGACTTGTGAAATCACTATGAAACATGCCAATGTTGAATTTTCTCTTCATTTCGGTGCAGAGAGAGTTCAATTCAAAAGTTGGCCCATTTTTGTTCACAGAAGCCTTGATTCAGGAAGCAACCTAAAGAATTAGCAAATTAAGTATGCTTAATTCCTGTTGGAGTCAGACACGTGTCTGAGTGCTTTATTAAATGAGGCCCAAAATTTATCAGCACATTCATTTAGGACTCTAGGATGCAAATCCCCCTCTTCTGGGAACAGGGTCCATCTTGCACAGCTCATATAATAAAAGCTTAAGCAAAACAATAGGATTTTTAAAAACACATTATGCTTTTAATAGCATTAGAAGTCTACAGTAAGTCCTTTAGACGTTTCTGATTCTAAATCCTGTGTGTGAAATCTGAGATACATTGTCCACATACAACTGTTAGAGCAGTTGTGCTCAGGGATGCTTGTGACAATGGTGTGTAAGTTTATATTAGAACTATTCATAGTTTTGATGATCACATGTTAATTTTGATGGATGAATTACTTGTTGGGGAGAAGGTGGGAAAGTGAGGATGTGCAATCTCTAAAAAAAACATTCTCTGCTCTTTTCTTACAGCTAGAAGATGCTCAGAGTAAAAGACAGGAGAAACTTGTAGAAAAACACAAGGAGATTCGTCAGCAAATCCTGGATGAAAAGCCTAAGGTAAAGAGTTTTTGAACAATGCTATACTGCTAAAAAATGTCCTTCAGGAAAGAAAGTGTTCTCACAGCAGGTAGGCTGATGTTTAAACATGAGAAAGTCCATTCACAGCATTATAGCCATTGTCTCTAATATTCACGATGAAAAAAAGTCAAGTAGCAGCCTACTATGGAGCACCACTTCAAGTCCAGATGTCATATAATGGAGTTTATTTTTTAGTACTCATATTGTTAAAAAGTTTTCAGTGTAAATGGTGCTTCTGACCAGCAGAGTGTGCCCTTCACTCTATTGTGCTGTAGCGGTACAAAACCAAAACACAGTTTACATTGAAAAGAAAAAGAGATATCTTTTTAGCATGCTTGCCGCAGATATTTGTGATAATTGCTGAGGATGTGTTTTTGTGGAAAACAATGAGTGTCTTCATAATATTAGTGCTTAGTATTCTACACTGCTCGATGGATTTCCTCTATTTCATTTTATGCACTGCACCTACATGTAATACCCTGAAATATGTTTTTTTCATCCTAAAGATTGCAGGCTGACTCTTGCTCCTAGTGAAGCTGGTGGTAGTTTTGCCATTGACTTCAGTAGAGGAGGTTCAGAGTCCTCCACTTGTACACGATTTTCCTGTAGGAAGACCTAGGTAACTGTATAATCAGACTTCTGTACAGAGGGAGACTTGCTTTCAGCAGAGTTCATATCCAAGTATGATTCTTCACAGCCCATTGTGTCGTGTCTGCTTTCATTTTTTCTGCACTTGCTCAAATGTGCGTTCTAGGCTTCACTTTCCATTTCTTGTCTGTGTCCACAGTCCTAATGTTTCCGTGCTTGTATTACAGCTTGAATTCTAGCATTGGGTGTCAGCTAATCAGTGTTGTCCTGTCATTTCTGTGAAATATCCAGAGAATAAATTAGGCTAAGGTCTGAATTGGTAGAAGTTTACAATAGTTTGGAAAAATAAAAACGTTTGCATTTCTGATTTTCTACTCATCTTTTTAAAATCGTGTTTATAAATAAGCTGGAACTTTTCGATGTCATGGGCATTTGGGTATAAAGACTGTACATAATTTTCTGGTTTATATTTGGTGCTCCAGGATCATAAGCTTCTCAGGCGTGTGAACTAAAAAGACTGGAATTTAAATGCCGGAATTTTAAATTTCAAAGAATAATCTGCTAGTACTTCTAACACTGGCATTTCACAAATACTTGGGCACTTGATTACTTGTCTGTGTCCTTTCTTCTTTTTTTCTTGATTTTTTTTTTTTTCTTTTTTAATTTATTGATTTACTGAGAAGTAGCACAAAGCACTGAAAATTTGTGACTAAGGACTTGGGTTGCATTTTGAAAGACTGTGCTGGACCGGTAGCGTTAGACTCTTCCATCAGCTGTCCACGTGCCAAGCGTTAGGTCACGGCACAGAGCAGCTCCAGACCCCTTGTCTTCCCCTGCTTCTGGCCATCAGTTAAAGCACTGCAGTAATCAGCCCTCCTCACTCAGGGCTCTCAATTTCCCCTGAGAAAACCCTCTGCAGTAATGTGCCTCACAGGGCCTGGCTGCAGGGTTTTTTTTTTTTTCCCTTTCCCACATACTGAAATAGGCAGACTTTGCTGAATTTATGATGGTATGTGCCTCTTGCTGGCATGAGAGGATTTAGGCAAAACATAATTACTCATTTTATTAAGTCTCTTTTTATGTTTTGCTTCATGTTCGTATTTCATATCCATATTTGCTTCCTTAGTGACAGGGCGTGTGATATAAAATAGATCAAATGATTTCCCAGCTGAGAAGAACCAATGTATTTTATGCAAGCAGCAGCCTTTCTAGGGGCAGCTTTTTTAACAGGCAAGTCTCTCATGCTTCGGTATTCAAACACCCACTAAAATTTATGCTAGCTGTGTTAAAAGGGTTTTCTGGCAGGATCAACTCAACCCCTAAACAAAGAGTTTAATATATTAAGAGGGAAAGAATTTTTAGTATTTTTACCAATAATTCCTTTGGCGACAGATTTGCCATCATCAGTCACTGTCATTTGGTTATTTATTACTGACTCACAGTTCGTTGTGTTGTGCACAGAGCTCGGTCATAGCCAGGAAGAATATCGTTTCACAAACTGTTGCCAACAGACTGCCACACCAGTGAGGTTTTTTGGGTTTGTTTTTTGTGGGTTTTTTTTTTTTTTTTTTTTAAGTATGAGTTTGCAGCTTCCTTTGTTGCAGTGTGTGTAGGTCACCAGAGGAAAATTTCCCTTAGAGTGCTGACATTTTAGACAACAGCTTTTAGAATCTGCACAAACTGGATGCAAATTAGATCTCTGTATCGGAGGCAGAGGGGGTGCTTTGTATTTAAAATATCATCTGTTTAGATGAAAGTACTTAACTCAGAACTGATTTACACCCTTAAACTCTGCCTCTCCCTCATATTCGTAATTTGTTTTTAATATTTGGATGTAAGGCTGTTTTGCAGCTTTCATTTGCAAGGCTATTGTGTAACAAAAAGCTTTTTTTCTCATATGAGAGTTGGAGACTTTACTTCCTGAACTGATACTGTTAGGCAAAAGATTGGAAATAGTTCTTCAGCTGCTTGTGGTCAAAAAAGAGTAGGCATTGGCTTTAATGGGCCCAAAATGTCATACTGTATCTATGTAAGTAATGAGGATATCTTTGTGACTAATCTCTGATGCTGTAGAAACTAGAAATTGAGTATTATCATCAAGTCTCTGTGTGTTGTGTATGGAAACAGGCCAACCACTCTGACAAACATGTTTGGAAAAGGAGACTGTCACCTAATTAAGAAGTCAAATACTGACTGACTGTAGGTCAAAAAAATTCTAACTTGCCATTTTAGTGGAAGCACAGTGGGAACAAAGCTCAAATGCTCTCCTGCCGCTATCTTTTTCCTAACGCCATCACTACCAAGCAAGACTGTATATATTTTCTTGTCTTTCACTCCTTTTTTTTTTTTTTTCCCCCTTACATTATCTACTGGCAGCTTTATCATCAGCAACAGCTTGTATTTTTCTCCCCCATTCTAATTCTTTGTCTCCTCCTCTTAGTCATTGATAGACGTTAAGCTTGTCCTGTCCTTATCTTCTTCCCCTTGGGCATCTCTCTCTTCTGCGTGCTGTGGAGGCTGCTGTAGGAACACAGCTCTTTACACTGCAGTACTGAATTCTGTACGTTAGAACAGTGTGTGATTTCAGATTCTCCACTACAGCGTGTGTCTGGCACTCGTTATCTAAGCACAGAGGAAGGCATCGAGGATGGGCATGGTCATTGCATCTCAATTTCTTTGTCTTTGACAGCTTGTGCATCAAATTAAACATAAATCAAGTGCATTTCCTTTCCCCCACCCTTGCCTCCAATTTCATTGTAATTACAAAAATCAATACACGTGAGACATGACAAGGAATTAATTATTTTCTGACAATCGACTCAGTTACAGTAAATAGACCCAAGCCTCTTCTAATTGAAATCAATGAGACTTTTGTTATTCATGCTCAAGGGTCAGATGATTACACTTACATCTCAATACAATAGCTGAGACTCCTGTGCTCTTGCAGTCAGCTCCCGCTCCCAGCCGAGTTATGCTGGACTCTTTCGGCTTCAGTGGACCATATTCTTACAGCCCCAGCTGTCAAGGAAGGCATAACTCATGTGGTTCCTCATTTTGTAGCCCATGTTCATGTTTCTGCTCACACCTACTCTACTGTTCACAACCCCAGCGTAGCCAAGGCCTGCCAGATGGTATGGGCTCCTGCAGAGATGTGGAAAATGGCACTATACAGGGTGAGGGTTTCTCTGTGGGAAAAGGTGCAACAGATCTCCAGAGGTGCCATTAAGATGTGCAAACTTTCCTCTAGGTGTTGCATCTCTGTGGTCTTTCAAATGAATGAAGAGAATACAGCCTTAAGGTATAAAATCCCTTTTTCCCCTCAAAAAGTATAATGAAAACAATTTTTTAAGATGACAAATCAGTTCTTGATAATGGAAAATAAAAGCATCAGATGCATTCTAACTCACTTTCAAAGAACACACGTTTATTATCTCGCAGTTTGACGTGCGTTATTAATTGTACCAAATGGGAGTCGACACTTCTACATCTAATAAATGATTAATATTAGCACTGTACCTGAAAAATTTATAGGGATGTAAAATGATACATATTCAAGTTATAGAACAAAGTAATGAGATGCTGATCATTTGCAGCAGTAAGCCTCTCATAACTCCAGTGTCATCTTTCCATTACATAGGGCTGGAAAGGACCTCCAAGGTCTCTCTTCTTGGGGCTAGCCGTTTTTGCAAGCGATCACATATCATGTAAGCCTATTAATGAAACAGTGCTGGACAATGACTCCTTCCTTCTGAGTGTTATTTAAATGAAGATATTTGAAAACCCAGTGAACGGTTTCATAGATTTCTGATCATGCTTTCCGATTTCTTAGAATATGCAAAAATACATCGATCTTTGCGAAGGTTACAGCTTGCCATACGTGCTTTAGGTAAAACTTTGTGGTCGTCTTCATGCAGCTAATGTTGAGTTAAATGGAGCTGTTACTGACAACAGGGTCAGCAGAATCACCGCTCTAACTTTACGAAGAAGTCAAATACAGCAAATGTATTTTACAGCACTGTTAAATTTGATTTCAGTTAACCTCAGAGCTCAGAGCCACTCTATTAGCTCATCTGGAAGAGAGCAGCTCTTAGGAACTTTGATGACTATTCCAGTGTCCTTTCAGCTCGCTGCATAATTCACAATAACAATGCACTGTCCACCACAATCCCTTTTTTATCCTTTACACCTCTGTAGGAAGCCAAGCTGTCTTTTGGGCTAGCTGCACTTAATTCAAACCCCTCCAAATGCATTCCGGTTCAACCACAGGCGACTATTCAAGAATTTTGGGGAAGGAGTTTGGAGGAAAAGGTTATTTTAGTTTACTGAGTTTCATGGGACTTTGCATTGCATAGATTTGGATTGAATGGGGGAAAGTTGCCGTCCTAAAGTGG